TGGTCATTGCAGGCAAGTCGTTCTGCAAATAACGCCAAGCTCTCATAGCCTCTGCTTCTGGGATTCTCGCCGCCTGCAAGACGTTACAGAAAAGCTCTGCGGAAAGGTCTCTGTCACCCACCAACGAAGTGAACAGGTTCATGGGGTCTTCTGTCACACTTCGAAGCTTCTCCGCCAGCTCCAGGACCAAGGAGTCCTCAGGCCTCAAGGCCAACAGAACTATGAAGTTCAGGTGCAGCGGCTCCAACGAGCCAGCATCACTTTCGGACGTAACCGTTGAGTTGTCGGCAAAGTTCACATACTGGAAGGTTGAAGAAAAGGCGGCTGCGTGCTCCTGAAGGAGTGCAGCCCAAGAATCCATGGACTGCAGCTGTTTGGACCAACAAGAGCCTGGATAGCTGATGATCTGCACTCTCAGTGGGCGCCGAATGTCCACGTGAAAAGCAGACATGGCTCTGACTGCCAGCTTAAATCAAAAAAGCACGAGGGCATGCTTTGTGGGAGAGCTTGTCCTTTGTTCAGGGAAGCAAAACCTTGCTAGACTCTTTTTGAACGCCAACAAAACCTCAATCGAGCCTGAACACGAGCAGGAGATGGAGGGGAATTGTTTCTTTCCTAAAGATCCACAAGCCACTGACGCAGCCCTAAAGCAACAGGAGCAGCTGGCCACTTGCAGAATTTCGTCGGGGTTGGGTTCAGTCAGGGTTGGGGTTTGGGTTTAGGGATTCGGGTTTGGTGTTTACATTTCAGGGCGCTACTGGTTTCTCCCTGAGCATTGTCCAGTGCCCTGCACCCCAAACCAAGAACTGTTCTTCCTTTCCCACCCCTGAAAGGCCCCCAAGCCCACAGAAGCCCCAAAGCCACAGAAACCTAGCCCCTGAAAAGCACCAAGCCAAAACATAGGACATTGTCCTGAGGTGTTTTCTGGCTTCCTCCCACCCCTGAAAGGCCCCAAGCCCACAGAAACCTAGGACATTGTCCTAGGGTGTTTTTCTGGCTTCTCCCCACCCCTGAAAGGCCCCAAAGCCCACAGAAACCTAGGACATTGTCCTAGGGTGTTTTCTGGCTTCTTCACCCCTGAAGGCCCCAAAGCCCACAGAAACCTAGGACATTGTCCTTGGGTGTTTTCTGGCTTCTTCCACCCCTGAAAGGCCCCAAAGCCCACAGAAACCTAGGACATTGTCCTAGGGTGTTTTTCTGGCTTCTCCCCACCCCTGAAAGGCCCCAAAGCCCACAGAAACCTAGGACATTGTCCTAGGGTGTTTTCTGGCTTCTTCCACCCCTGAAAGAAAGCCCACAGAAACCTAGGACATTGTCCTAGGGTGTTTTCTGGCTTCTTCCACCCCTGAAAGGCCCCAAAGCCACAGAAACCTAGGACATTGTCCTAGGGTGTTTTCTGGCTTCTTCCACCCCTGAAAGGCCCCAAGCCCACAGAAACCTATGACATTGTCCTAGGGTGTTTTCTGGCTTCTTCCACCCCTGAAAGGCCCCAAAGCCCACAGAAACCTAGGACATTGTCCTAGGGTGTTTTCTGACTTCTTCCACCCCTGAAAGGCCCCAAAGCCGACAGAAACCTAGGACATTGTCCTAGCGTGTTTTCTGGCTTCTTCCACCCCTGAAAGGCCCCAAAGCCCACAGAAACCTAGGACATTGTCCTAGGGTGTTTTCTGGCTTCTTCCACCCCTGAAAGGCCCCAAAGCCACAGAAACCTAGGACATTGTCCTAGGGTGTTTTCTGGCTTCTTCCACCCCTGAAAGCCCCAAAGCCCACAGAAACCTAGGACATTGTCCTAGGGTGTTTTCTGGCTTCTTCCACCCCTGAAAGGCCCCAAAGCCCACAGAAACCTAGGACATTGTCCTAGGGTGTTTTCTGGCTTCTTCCACCCCTGAAAAGCCCCAAAACCACAGAAACCTAGGACATTGTCCTAGGGTGTTTTCTGGCTTCTCCCCACCCCTGAAAGGCCCCAAGCCCACAGAAACCTAGGACATTGTCCCGCGGCCCTGAAATGCCTGCTAAAGCCCAGAAACCCAAGGCCTTCCTGGGAGTCCACGAGTATCCAAACCCCTGAAAAGTTCCAAACCCTCCCAAGTCTGTCCTTGTCGTTCTCGAAGTCGGCGTC